ATTTTGCCCCTATGCAAAAGATTTTTCATTAATTATCAAACACCCTGTATATAGTTTTAGCTTTTCAATCCTAAATTTTCTAATAAAGTCCATAAAGATTAAAATTGAGATTGGATTTGAATTTGATAAATCAGTTAAACTTGATATAGATTTTCTTTCTTCTTATTGATTAAATTCCAATCCAATTTTAATCTCTGGTCCAATATGGGCATGATACATCAGATGCGTTTAGATTTAATTTTTCCTTAATAGCTTTCCTAAAGCTTTTGGTAGTCAATATAAACACGGTTCTTTCTGCGGTGATAAAATTGCATATTTAAACGAAGAACATTGTGTTTAGCGGCCTCGGTCGCACAAGCGACACGCATACGTGGACCAGAGAGGCGTGCACCAGTGCGAAGAGCGCGGGTCTGTTGGAGAGGAAACAGGCGAGGGCATGCAGGGCTGCGCCGGATGTGATGCCTGCCTTGGTACAAGCCGCTAAAGATACGTCAACGGTATGCCAGCAGGCCTTCAGACATCGCAGATGGAACTGTAGCAGCATCGAGCGCGCGCCTGACTACACACCTGAATTACTTACAGGTCTGTCAACATGTTATCTGCCCAGCTTTTATACACTGAGAAAAATGATCTGGTTGGATTAAACAGTAATTCTGGTGGAAAATGGACGAATCAGAATTTTCTGGTTATGTCTATTATAATTCTAGTTGAGATAACTAGAATTCTGATTAATATAATTATTCTGGTAAAAATAAGAATTCTGGTAGATCAGGTTAAAATCCTTAGAGAAATTTAAATAACTTATTTATTGTAGGTACTAAAAATAGGCTGGTAATTAATTATTTATTTTAAGTATTAAAAATACTTTTTTAGTGCATTTAATACTCAGAATAAGTAATTAAACACTAACCAATTTAATATACTTAGAGTAATAAATTTTTCTAAAGAAATTTTATGTTATTTTTTACAAGCATTAAAAGTAAATTTAATAGCACCGGTGATCATTATGGGAGTCAACGTTCTTGACAAAATTGAAAATGACATAAAACGTCCGTATAAATTCTACGAGAGAGATTCAAGTATGATAATTGCAAAAATTGATTCCTTGTTTCGAAAGATATCAAAGATTACAGTACGAATTAAGGAAGTTAACAAGAAAAAAAAACAAGATATTAGATTTCTCTCGTCTTGCAATTTTAGAATTAGCACTGATTAAAAATTAAGTATTTAAATAAGAAAATACGTTGCCTATCGACTTTGCTCATAATAGATTTATAATCGCTGATTTTTGCACAACGGAGGGACGCGAAGTAGATGAAGGTTTCTGATGGAAAACGTATCGAATATCCTTTGAGGAATTCTGACGTAAATAGGAAGACCTGGCGGGCGCGTCTCAATTAGCGATCATTAACAAACCGTAGCTCCCCACGGTCTTCATCCTTCCTCTTCGCGACCGGGCCTCCGTTGGATTAATCGCTCGCGTTTCACGATGATTATATTGTAAATAAAAGTTCACTCGAGAGATCGAGATATCCTCCGTTAATGAGAAAACTGAGAAGCGCCAATGAGAGATACATTATACGATCACGAACGTAACCGTTCGCCGTTGTATTTTCCGCTCTCGAGAATACAATAATCAGCTTTTCCTCAATCATCTTGATTGACGAAGGAAGAAAGAATTGCATGGTCTTTAATTCAAGAACGTTACGACAAAATCTGATTTGACATCGTTATAATACATTAAACATAATCCGTGCATAATTGTTAAATTAAATTGGAATAAATTTGAAGATATTATGCTTATACGAAAGAATGGTTTTGCTGACAAAATCGAAAACTTAGCCAGATACAAATCTAAAAATAATTTGTTATAAAAAAGAATGCATCACGCTTAAGCTTCATATGTAATTATTTTGATAAACCAACAAAATTATTTTTAGATTTGTATCTAGCTAAATTTTAAAATATTTTAGCAAAAAATTTGCATACGTACTCTTTAAAATCTTTAGAGTGGAATCTAATTCTAAATAATGACAAAGAAGCGCAAGAAGACAATTGAGCTAGTGTTGAAAGATTCAATTTTTCACATTCCAATGAGCAAATTGATCGTAGGAACGCGAGAACAAGCCTTCGTCTATGCGATGTCGGCCGCCGCTGCGGTTTGGAGGCTCGCGCGAGGATGCGCTTTGGGGAGCTTGGCGGCTTGTTCTTGCGCGACTCCACCGCGAAGAGAGCCACCCTCGCCATCCGCGCTTATCTCGCCCTCATCCTTCACCACCATGTCCGTCTCTTTCGACACGCTGTCCGTAAGGAACTCGTTCAAGTGGGGCGGCTGCGGGGACGACGTGAGATCCGCTTCGAGGATGGCCAAGCGGTTTCTTCAGGGTGCAACGCCGCCTGGTACCGGAGGGACCGCCAAGTTTATGCACGCGGTCAATATGCACAACAATAGAGCGGGTCGGAGGGTGAGTGTTTACGATACCGCAACTGTTGATAACTCTGATAGAAATGTATGCAGTTTTCCTAGACACCTATTCAGTTACTATCTAATATTACTGTATTCTCATTAATTGTGCCAATACTGAGTAGGAAATGGACAAGAACTTGATAGAGTTTTATTCTGTCCATTTCACGAGCAGTTGGCTTGCTTATTAATCAATTTAATATCCATTATTTGTTGTGTTTCTATGCAGTAAATGGATTCAGATTTTATGCAACTTTTGTATGCAGTAACTGCAAACAAAGCGTTACATCCTGATTGGAATCCTAAGTAGTTTTCCTTCTCAGTTACTAGACAAAAGTTGGTGTAACTATTTAGTAACTGCTCAAAAAATGCATGAAATTTCTACCAGGGTAAGTAAGAAGAGCATTAGACGTACAGGTGGTCTACATTATTTAATTATTTTTGTGATTATTTTTCATTATTTCTGAAATTCCATAGAGTATATTAAAGATGTATCAAAAAATGTGATAAGAAAAATCCCTGGTAGAAATTTTATGCAGTATACGATTGGTTATTGGGAAGTTGTACTGACTTTTACCTAGTAACTGAACAACAACTGTTCAGAATACCAATCACAATGTAACGCTTTTCTCGCAGTTACTGCACAATAAAGAAGTTCAAAATCTGAATACTTACTAAGTAGTAAGAGAACAATAATACTAGAATAGGCTCTTCATTTAGGTCATTCACATAATCTGAATTATTCTATACAAAATTAATATTATATTAACGTAAGTAAAATAAGCAAAGTATCTATACTAAAATTCTTCGCTACTCACATATATTTCATTTCTGGGACTCATTCGTCATTTTTGATCTTTGATATTTACTGCTTCTAACTTCATTTTTTGCAATCTTTGTGATAGTCATACATGCTGTAAATGATTTAAAAACTAGTTCTTCTAGTTTTTTTTCTTTGCTCTACATTTCCGTACGCGTTCACGACTTTCACACATATTTAATTATTAACAATTTTACATAAACATAAAAATATGTTCAGTTATACACGTATCGCAATAATATATGCGTATACACATGACATGAGCACTGCGTAACTATAACTGGTAGAAAACTGGACAATTACATTTTTAGTATTGATACAAAATCTCTTGTACAGAATTGACCCAGATATTGCCTAGTAAAACTGCTTTAACTAATTTTGCCCAGTTGCTACGTAGTATTTTTGTACTATAAAGAGAAATCAGTAGTACTAGATAATAACTAACTGGGTGCTCAGTCAAACTGCACAAATTTCTACCAGGGATACTTTGAATCAAGATTTTGCCTACATAAAAAAATAAAACCAGTAAAGGATTCTATTGAGTATCTATCTTGATGAAATCATTTTTCATTATGAAGCTCTATCAATAAACTGAGAGACATACTTCAAATCGAGATTTTGTCTAATTGTAAGTAGATGAATGAAATCAGCCAAGGATTCTTGGTATTCTTGATTTTCGGAAAGAATGCGATATAATCGCGATTAACGCTTCGTCCGATAGGCGGTCGAGCAGTCCTTGACTTTGGAGTGTAAGTGCCACGGGGTGTCGGGTTCCTGCAGTGTGCGTACCTGCTGGCGCGGTCTAGGTGCATCGGGACCATCCGCCGCCGGAAGCCGTTTGCTACGCAGATACGCCACCGCGGCAGAGGTCAGGCTGAGATCTGGCGGCAGATTGCCGCCTTTGTATCACCACGATAATCTGCTCTATACCACCAAGAGTCCCGATTACTGCTTACCCGATAAGAAGAGAGGCAGCCTCGGCACGATAGGCAGGTCAGATACGTTCATCTTCCATGCGATGCGTAAAACTCATATTTTACTATTTAGTATCCGGTCTCTTCCGCTTTTATAAAGATAATTATAAGAGATAATTATAAGAGATAATTATAAGAGATAAAGAGAATATCGGAAGTCTTAGGCTGGTATTCATAATCGGTTCTTATATTTAAGATCGTCTTAAGATAGTCTTAAAATGTCATAAGCCAATCACAGAGCAAATGGCATCTTAAGATATTATTTAAGACGGTTTTAAAATAAGAACAGCCTACGAATATCGACCTTTAGATATCTCTATGGAGGTTTAAATAAAAAAATGTATGAAATACACAATATTTCCAAGACTTATGACTATAAGGTATAATCGTAAATCTTACATTCAGGAAATACAAATTCTTTTTAAATATATTCAACTTTATTAAAGTACACGAAAAAAGAACTTTGCTGAAGTATCTAAAAATTTAGGTAAATACAGATCTGAAAATAATTTTGTTAGATCAAAATAATATTGTAGAAAACTCAACTATGAAATGCAAAAGTTTTGACATTCTAGCAATCATCTTGAGCGTCCTACATAATTATTTTGATAATCCAACAAAGTTATTTTTAGATCTGTATCTAGCTAAATTTTTAAATACCGTTCTTTCCATATAGAAAATACAAAAAATAATAGGAACGTTACTCTCTTTAAAACGAATATGTTTTCAGGATGAAACTCGTTGGTGCTCGTAAATCGGTTTAACGTTTACTTGTTAAAAACTCTTAGTTTACGAGCTCGTGCGATGTATAAGTACATAATATAAATTTTAGTTTTGATACGGTCGCGATATCGAGCGAATAAGGTGGCTCGAATTGCATTTTAACGTGACTGGTAGTGCACGAAGAAGGATTTATCAACATATTGCGTGAAAAGCGCTTTCTTCATGCGACTGCCGTTCATTAACGAAGGAGCAACGAGCGAAGAACGTGACGAGTTTCACTACGAACGATGTCGATTATCGCGTTAACTGCATCGTTAAAAAAACCGTATGTATGGGTAACAAATGTGCAATGTTCTTTCTTGTAAGAAAACAGGAATCGTTTTTCCTTCAAATACACCGAGAAAATTTTATATTTAAAATTGTTATAATGTGATAGTAGCTGCGGTCTTCATGTAAATTATAAGTTTAAATGCTATAGTTATTTTTTTTAAAAACAATAATATAACGTAATTTTTACACTTTTTCATAGTAAAAATTTTTGATTACAAAATCAAATATATCTAGCAAATTTTGTTTACGTATCATAGTAAAAATTAACTATTTTCATGTTAGAATATGGCTTAACAAAATAATTACTTTATTTATGTGATAAAAATTAGTATTACCATAGCAAAAGTTAAGTCGGATTCATGTTGTGAGAGTCCATCAAAAATACAAGACATAGTAAAGTGTAATTTAAAATATATAATATTGTATTAAAACTTAATATAAAATTTTCTCCGTGTATCTAGACCCAAATAGTCTTTTGAGCTAACGAATAAATAAAAAGGAAAGTAGAAGTTTAGCTGTCACTTAATAACGCGAAGATGGCCCTCTTGGTTCCTCTCATTCCTTAACAAGAAAAAAAATGAGGACAACTTGGCAGGAAGAAAAGTAGAATGGTGGCTTCATATGAAGGGACGTAAAGGGAGAGACAGGATGTAAGGATCAGCCGACTACTTTTTTCGGTAGCCGCGGGCTAAAGAACCTTCTTCTTCTTTCGAACGCAGTAGTCCATACATCCTCGTGATAGGTCGTTAACTTTTCTTGTAATACGCAAATTATTTATGTTCTCGCGATTTATCTACTGGAAGCAGTAGAAACAAATAAATCTAGTCTCAGTCCTTGAAAATTGTCTTTCACTGATTTTGCTGAAAGTTCTAAACTCATACAGCACAAAAGCTTGCAGTAACATTGATGCAATATTTGCAATGTTACTGCAATATTACTAGAATGATCTGTGCTATACAGGAAATTTTGCTGAATGCAGATCTGAAAATAATTTTGATGAACTATAAAAAATTACTGGAAATTAAAAAATAATGAGCAATATTCCAAATATTTTGCAACCTATTCTAGCAACCAGTTTGAGTTTTAAACAAAATTATTTTGATGGTTCAGCAAAATTATTTTCAATTCTGTATTTCGTAAAATTTTAGATTTTGCAGCAAAATCGTTCTTTCCGTGAATTGATTTCGGCTGAATCGCTAAAAGCTAAATATCAAGGATCGATGTATATCCCCTTTTATGATTTTTCTTACAGAATTAGCGCGTAATTTTATTTCGCGTAAATACGTCTGTTAATAGTGAGCTCGTGCGACTTTATCGCACGCACTGTCCTAGTCTGGTTATAGGTAGGCATGTAAAAGTACGAAAAACCATTAGCACCGTCATAAGCTCAGCTTTTATGAGGCACTCAGGTCATCGCTGATTGCAACTTCCCTTTAAGTCCGCTTATACTCATCTCAGTCGTAATCGAAATATTCCGTCGATCGTTATTTCAAGGCAGTATCGGTGAAGATCTTTCCTATATATTATTTTACAGCTTGCACTTTTTGCAAAAGTTGTTATAGCAATCCTCCATAATCGCTAACGATCTACGAAAAACTAGCTCAAATAGTTACGACAGTCAATTTTACTTCAGCAATGCAAACCTGTTTTTTTTTTGTATATTAACGCTTCTCATGTGTTTTCCATGAACGTAAAATATGAATCATTTATTATATAATATTTATTTGTCTACAAAAAATTGTTATGATTAAAAAACATTTTTATACAATAATAATTACACAATATAAATTCTTAATTCATTCATAATCTTTTCCAATTCTGGTTTTTTCGGTTTTTTCTTTTTTTTGGTTTTTCAATAATACTTGGATAGCATCTGGTAATCACGTATTTGACGAGAATATATTTTTATTTATAACATCCTGACTCTGAATTCTCTGCAACTTCACAATTTCTGCGTTGGAAATCTACTTGTTCGAATTCGTATTATTGTATATTGTAATTTTCATTAAATTTGCGAACGCGCGATTTTTGGTATCAAGAGAAAAAATTTTTAATTTGTTTTGTCAGATAAAAATTGTTTATCTATGTGTAACTTTATATTCTTAATGTACTGAAGATGGTCAAATATTGACCGAAACGTTTACTTATTTTACATTAAATACACGTTTTAAGCAAATTACATCAAGCGTTGTGGCTGTATGCTCTTTATTGTTTACATTTGTTATTTTTAAGCCACCTAACTATCTTTATTTAATTCAATTCTGATTAATTTGACCGCTGCTCAAAAGAAAAACAACGTAGAGAAAAGAAGCTACGTTCCCGTAAAACATGGATATTTTTCTCATAAACCAGTATTCATATATACAATGAGAAAACATGTATTAAATTTTAATAAATATTTGTTCAAATAGTACTAGATGTATAATCGAATATATTTATTTGATACAAGAACCATATTTTTATTTAGTAAATGTAAGTAACTTATCGTTTACTTACATATTATGTAAGTAAACGATAAGTTATTATTCACACAAATATTTATTATAATGTAATATATTTTTGCTGATCCATTTTTATTTCAAGACCATCTTAAACAATGTCTTAAGATGCTAGCATGGTCCTGTGATTGGTTTATGATATTTTAAGCCTATACTTAAGATGGTCTTAAATATAAGAATCGACTACGAATACCGACCACAGTATCAGCCGGAGGCGTCGGGCTGCATTGGGTGCTAATAAAATTTCCTTATCCTGTTCCTCTCTTTTCGTTTCTAGGGGACGTAATGCCTAGCCACACGCGACGAATTTCTTTCCGATTCTTTCGAGCTCGGTTAATCACGTCGTGGCAGATAGCCAGGCTTATTTATGCGAGCGTGCCAGTAATTACGTGTGTGAGGCGAGAACGAGAGAGGAGAAGATAGGTCTCTCGGAGATAGGGTGCGTCTCGCCATCCAGACGACGCTCGGTCGTCTCGAACCTGTTCTCGAAACCGAATGAACACGCATGTTTTACGATGCCTTGTTCGACAGACTTGTTCGCCGCGCGAATACCGTTACGACAGGACCCATTCACGGTCTTATTGCTGTTCTTTTTCCGCCGCCACTACCGTCTGAGAGTGTTAACGTTAATTTTTGCTATATGCCGTTTCGCGAGTTAGCGCTACCGTTCGAAGAGCTCTTTTCGGCAAAAATGCTTTACGACCTCCCGAGGAGTTATTGTGTCGCGAGATTTTTTATGAATTCAAATTGGATATCAAATTGTCATTCTGTAAATTATATTTTTATTTTTAGACCGCATATGTGAGAAACACAATCAATACTAGAAATTTAAATTTTCTATTACTAGAAATTTAAATTGCCTATTACGGTCGAAGCTGGATCTTCGTTGCTTTAAAATAATTCAATCTTGAATTACTAATATATACTATATATGTACTTGCATATATACCATATTGTAGTCTTTTTCAAACTGCGCGCCGAATTGTTTTTCCGGACTAAATAAACGCAAATAAAACTACTCTAGTAATCGCGAATTAAATTGACAAGCAATTTAATAATTTGATGCTACTATCAAGCATCATATATTATAAAGATGTTATATTAAAACTGTTAATAAATTTATTGCGAAAAATATTACCTCGGCCGGGACTTGAACTCTGATCTCTTGCATACCGTGCGAGCGTCCTAAGCCTTTGGTAGACCATCGAGGCAGTTTGAAAAAGACTACAATATAGTATTTACTATATTGTATATAGTATTTACTATATTGTAGTCTTTTTCAAACTGCCTCGATGGTCTACCAAAGGCTTAGGACGCTCGCACGGTATGCAAGAGATCAGAGTTCAAGTCCCGGCCGAGGTAATATTTTTCGCAATAAATTTATTAACAGTTTTAATATAACATCTTTATAATATATGATGCTTGATAGTAGCATCAAATTATTAAATTGCTTGTCAATTTAATTCGCGATTACTAGAGTAGTTTTAATTGCGTTTATTTAGTCCGGAAAAACAATTCGGCGCGCAGTTTGAAAAAGACTACAATATGGTATATATGCAAGTACATATATAGTATATATTAGTAATTCAAGATTGAATTATTTTAAAGCAACGAAGATCCAGCTCTTCGACCGTAATAGGCATTTAAATTTCTAGTATTGATTCTGTAAATTCTTTGAAGTGGAATCTTACTGTAAAGATTGAAAATTGAGTCAGTCTTGAAAAAGAGTAGCTCAATTTTCAATTTTTAATAAGATTTTACTTTTTAGAGTAAGATTTACTTTAAAGTTTTAGAAAGTGAAGTACATATCTAAAACTTTAGCTTATGATCTGAAAATAATTTTATTGGACTATCAAAAATAATTATGTAAGATGCTTACAAGCATGATAAACAATGTGTGCAAAAAATTTTAACATTCTAGTAACCACCTTAAACATTCTACATAACAAAATTATTTTCAAGTCTGTATTTAGCTAAATATTTAGCGAAAGGGCTGTTCTTTCCGTGTAATATCTGTTATTTGTAGAACATGAATTATTTCGAAATGAAATCATTGTATATTGAATCCTGCTCGTTTAAGTCACACTATACAATATATTAACAGGATATACAATATATTAATTCATTTATCGTGAGCGAACCAAAGAAAGACGCGAACCGTATCCACTTCGGAAAGAAGGACGGCATTTGTAACACTGTGATTGCATTCGTCACGGATTTTCCGGCGGCAGAAAGGAGACGGCTCTCCATCGCCTTCCAATTATCCACGCTTCGCTCTGCGTGAGTTAAGATCACCCACGGCATTCCGGAGATGACTAGGATCATGAGATGCGGGAAGTAATGGACGCACATGGCAGTTCCGGTGAATCTTTTATCTCGGTCTATAAATCGCGTCTCATTGTTCGTATTTCGCGTTGCAAGAAACGGCGCGAAACAGGATGCTCGCACAGATTACGTATTGGATGTAAGATATAAATAAAACAACATCCTTGCGTGCCAACTACAATGACCCATATTCTTTTGTTGTAGATTTAATGTTACATTTAGCCGTTAAATCCGATTGTAATTTACGCTGTAAAAATGCGAATGATAAAATACGTAGTGGTGATGCGAAAAATGTTACTTTTAATTAAATTTAAAATAACGAGATCTAGAATTTTCTAAAAAAAAAAAAGATTAAAATATTTTTAAATAAACAGAAATATTTCTAATTGAAAACAATTTTAAATACTTCAGCAAAACTGTTCTTTCTGTGGAAATATTGGTCTCACTGTGATTTAATCTCATTAAAAATTTGATCATATACAGTAAAAAAGAAAATGTTAATTTTAACATTTTTTACGTGTCCCAGGAGATCCACTCTAAATTTTAAGTTAAAGTAACTCATTCGTCTTGTGTTATTTATTAACGAACTAATAATGTTAAATAATTGACACAATACTTTACATTTATATTTGTTATTTTGACTTTAAGGGTGATTTAAAACTAACGTATAAAATAAGTAGAGTACATAGAAGAGTAGTTGCAGTAACTCGTAAGAAAATGTTAATAAAACATTTTTATTCGTATAATGTGAATGAAAAAATTCTTAGATATTAAATTGACTTTGAGATATATAAATTAATTGAAACAATTGTGTTAAAAACACTCAAAATAATATTCCATTTTTAATTGACATACGCAATTGTTAAGTTAGAAAGGTGACATGGATTTAACACGTCAAAATATTACAAAAATAATAACATATCAGTTGTATATTGATTTTACATTCAAGTAATAATCAAAATGTGGTAACACAAGAAAAATTCTAGGACGCACGATTTTTTACTGTGTAGATTCAGCTAGCTAACGCAAAATAGTTTTAAGATATTATAAAAATCGAGAACGTATCCTTCGTCGTATGAATGTGGACGATTTTTCGTAGTTTCACGAGTAATTGACGATCTCATTGGTTCATTAGTGAACAAACCAACTCTCTATTCCTTCGATCAATTAATATATCTCGGCCTATCTAGCCCGGATATTAGTTTCTTTCGCCGCGAACGCGATTTCGCGCGTAGCTATCAATTCCGCGACGAGATTTATCAGCGACGCGCGACGTGCTTTTCTTGTTCTCTCCCTGACGACGCGCGAACAGGATCCGATAATTTCGTGAGAGACGATTACCGTGGGCTCTAATCCGACGTTTGTTTCGGACACGCCGATATTTCATTCGCCGAACGCTGATATATGGCGTCAGGTTCTTTGGACCGCCACCGACTCGTCTCGCCGGTTTACAGCTTCCAACCCAGTAATTATAAGCCCGCGTATAATTATACAAAATGGGCGTTGCGAATGTTTATCACACCGTGTTCGACCAGTGTTCCGTGTCACGACATAACGCTTCTCGGAAAGATCCTTTTCTTTTTCTTGACACCGCGTAATCTACACGGTAGTCTCGATCGCCCGCAAAAGCGGGCATCTTTAGTACCTTTACGGCATCAGAGGTGGGCGTCATGCAAATCGATTAATAATGGAGTCCGAGGAGCTTTAACGAAGTAACCGGAGGAGAAGTTTCGACGAGGCCATTGAGATAATACAGTCCACCGTTACGGGCCGTGAAGATGAATAACACTCTTACGAGTACACTAATTACACGAGTTTCTTCCCCGAAAGAAACGAGAAAGATATCGCTGTCTAATTATGGCAAACATGAAACCTAATCCGTTTGTAATATCCGGTATAATCGTGATCAGATAAAATGATAGTATCGATAATAAAATAGTTCGTTACATTGCTGTTAGGAAAGTATATATATTGTATACGTTAAAATTAATTTGAATAATATTTTATCTTCGATGATATAAATCTTTTCAAATCCTTTTCCTTTCTGCGATACACGCCACACTGATTTTTATTAATACTTGACTATTTATATTTTATATTATGCGGCTGATTCATTGCGCTGAAAATAGTAGTTTATAATTATAAGTGGACGTCATTAGATCGACAAGAATAAAATAAATCAAATAAAAAAAGCATTCTATTTTTGGCCGAAGCAGATCTATGGTGCTATGCTTACTAATGTTCATGTATGTACGCTCTAAATTTCTTGCAGTGAAATCTCACTTCAAGAGAGTGAAAATGCAACCACCCTTGAAAAAAAGTGAAAATATTTCACTTCTTGAAAAAAAAGTGACGATCTTCACTCTTTTGTGAAATCTTACTTGTTTGGAATGAGATTTCACTTTTTTGAAAATTCACTCTAAAAAGAGTGAAGATCATCACTCTTTTTTCAAAAAGTGAAATATTTTCACTTTTTTTCAAGGGTGGTTGCATTTTCACTTTCTTGGAGTGAGATTTCACTGTAGGAAATTTAGAGTGTAGATTTACTAATTTGTAAGACTATATACAAATATATTTGTAAATTTATAGATTTACAATTATAAATAGATATTAGATCGATAAGAATACATCAAATAAGAAATGTTTGTAAGCCTACATTGTAAGATTCTTTAATATGATTAGTTATACATTTAGATCCGGCAAGGAGCTTATAAAAAGGCAAGAACCAATGCAAAACTGCTTTCATTGCTGAAGTCTTGAATTTTAGCAGTGGCAATGAATTTTGAAAGCCGAAAGAAGTACTATCATTAATATATTTAATATATATTTTTTAGCCATGATTACAAGATGGAAAAAAATTCTTTTGCAGACAATGCAACGGCAGCAGTTCCGGCTATGAGGGATGCGAGTACCTTTGCTGCGGCCGCGGCCACGTGACCAGGACTGAGCAGATCTACGAAAGATGCGACTGCAAGTACATCAGCTGCTGCTACGTCAAGTGCAAAACATGCAGCCGGATCGTGAAGACGTACGAGTGCAATTAAGAATAACGCGAATTGTCCGGGACAATTGGCGACGGAGATGTGTAATCTCCGCTTGACAAAGAAGAAATAAATTCGCGCGCGTGAGCGCGTTGCAAATTAAGCTAAAATTAATTAATTAATTTTGCGAGATGCGTTCGCATATAAAAATCCCGATCCGGGATGATAATTATTTAGGCGATAAATTATTTAACGTGAATGTGTACGACTCTCTCTCTTTCGCGTGGCGGTACGTAGTAAAAAGAGTTATTTATATCGTGCTACTTGCTATTTATTCGATGTGTGTGCGTGTATTGCGGCAGATGATTGCGAATAAACGCGTTCATTCCTGCCGACAGATTCGCGGAGTTAAATGTAAATCGGCGTTGTCGACGTCGATGTGTTATCGTCGTCGCAACCTCGAGAACGTAGATCAGAGCAGTGTACATAGAATGCTCGATATTTCGATGTAACCTACATTTACATTCTGCAAATACACGTTGCTTGGAAATGGCGGCCGACTTTATCCTTTTTCCTGATTCTCGCAATATTTATATATGTATGTACAATTTGATATTCGTGTCGAATGTATGTACGACAAGATTCAATTTCCAAACTGGAAAACTTGCGCTTGATTATGAATAATTCAGCAGCCGAGAGGCAAAGCGTTGCGAATTCGTTTCGACAGAAACGGCGCGGCGGTCAGATAATATTATGCCTTGAGAGAAAAAAATTTCTTTCCTGCTATAAACGAAAGATTTACAGTTAATCAATATGCATTTAATGAGAACTACTTTATGAGTAGTACCAATAAGTATCGCTTTTTATGAGACAATGAAATTATACTGCTAATTAGAACGCATATTCTTTACGAGGACAACATAAATGTGTTACATTAATTATACGGATCATTTGACATTTCGTATTACGTTTATTAAAACTATTTATCTGTTAATTTGTGGAAACTCAAGTAATAAGCGAGATGTTTGTTTGCGACCACCCTTTATTTATTATTGCAATGCAACAGATCCTTAGAGAAATTTATTAATACTGTAAATATTAAATTAATTAGTGATTAATTATATATTTTTGAACAAATTATATATTTCGATTAAAAGCACTTTACTAAGAATAGTGTTTTTAATATTTAAAATAATTATCACTAAACTATATAATTCAATCTTTCATTCGCTATAAAATCTTTAAAGTTATCATAGATATATATATATATATATATATATATATACTTGGATTGTAAATTCTAGCTAGCAGATAAATTTAAATGTAAAAAGTCAAAAATAAAATACAATTCAACTTGTATGATGGTAAAGATCGATTTGCTTTAGTAGCAAAATTTATTGGCATAATATTGTTTAACATATTCCTATGCTAATATTTATGTCTTGTCATCAATGAATTGTGTTATTCAGGTGTTGTTAAAGCTTTGACAAATCTTTCTCTCTACTAAAATTTTTTTAGATTTATGTATAAAACTTATATAATATTATAATCTGAAATTAAAAAATTGCTGTTTTTCTAAAACATTTTTTGTTAACAAAAAAATTAAAATTTTATGTTGTTGACGAAAGATTAATATACTTACAGTATTAAATTTTTCTAAACGGAAAATGTTGCATTGTAAGTAAAATAATGTTTCAATGTGTAGTAAACATCATAATAAGTACAATCTCTGTAAATATTACAAATGTTACCTGTTTCCGGGTAACTTCTTCCTTTCTTTATGATATATGTTGCGCACGTTAGATCCAATCTGTTGGGTAACCGATTTGCATAAATTACAATAATAAAAGATCACGACTGATTTGATCATAATTCCGAAACGACCGAAACTCAAAATGGCGAATGGCGGTGAAAGCGACAGATTTCAGAAATTAGTGTTCAGGAACCCACCAAAAACGTCATCAGTTTGTCCAATAGAAAAATTTTCTGGGGATTTTTCAGAAAACGAATCCTATTGGATATTGCACATTCCAGAATTTGATCGTTTTTATGCCGGCCGTAGATGTCGTAAGGTCTGTTCATGTTGCTTGAAATGTCCAAAAAAAGAAAGAGAGAGAAAGCGAATATGCTGAGTGCAAAAAGTGCAAGTAACGCGAACAGACCATAAATAAATTGCTACTAGGGCTACATTCCAAAACTTCCTCGGAGAGGAAGCAGCGAGAGAGGAACATAGCTTAGGAACACTAGGATTTCTTCCCGCGAAAAAGTGCAATCGCTCGTGACTGCCGAGTGCGCGAAGTGCAATTCGAAGTATTTCGAAGGGGCAGACGCGATCGCGCCGTTTCGAAATTTTGAAATCGCGGTCGCCGGTCAGTTGCTGAGAGACGCGTCGTGTTGATTGCACGGGTTCAAATTGCTTCGCGTTTTTCGCGATCGAGAGACGGCTCCGACCTTGACGGATCGTTGAAAAGTGTTCTGCGAGGTACACATCGCGACGCAGACGATCCATCGTTGCTCTGAGCCTCGTCCGAGCTCCCCGAGGTTACGAAAATCATTTGGCGCCACATCATACAGCCCTCTTTGCTTCACGTCATCGTTCTCTTGCCGAGGAACTTCATCGAGATTGCAACATGGTCAGGTATGTATAACGCCCATCTTGATTATTAGTTGCAGTGCGCAGTTGTACATTTTTTGCAATATTGGAATATATAAACTTTAGAAATGCACGTAATGGCGACAGCCGCCATTTCGAGATTTTACGGCACTCCACTGACTTACGAGTGCAGAAATAATTTTTATTGCGTCTTTACATCGTCTAATATTGATAGCAAAATTGAATTATGAATACTGATAGAAATACTAATAATATAGGAATACATATGTATTATAAATTTGAAGAGATTGCTGTATTATTATTGTTGTCGGGATTGGAAAATATTTCCGCGCGACGATTTTGATTGCAAAAATGATCAGTGTGTCAATGCGAGTTTTGTTTCCGCATTGCTGTTATTCTCTATCACGTTCTCTTCCGTCTTTATGTCTAAATCCTTAATAAACTCGTACCAATTTATCCCCGCACCGCAGTCCGGCTCTCTCTCCGATGCCCACCAAAGTGCCGTCTGCAAATAACGAATATAGTTGTGCCTCAGGAGATTTATCTCTTCTCTCATATTTAAATTTTTCTTTTTTACCCAAGTTTTTCCATTAAAAAATAAAATAAAGCTTAACTAGCACAAATACAATCTTCAAAAATACCAGAAAATATAATAAAATATCAGAGAGAACAAGATTATTTTCAATATAAAAATATTATATAATATAAAAATATGATAAAAATATAATATAATATATCATAAATAATATAATAAAAGAATATATGTAAAAAATAATGAATTAACAGCATAAGTCTAATTGAAAATAATTCTTTTGATTTAATATTAATAAAACGAATACATCATGTTTTGGTTTTAATCAAATATTTGTTTTATTAATAATGTAATTAATTTAATAACATTTATTATTTCAATTAGACTAATGCTGTTAATTCAACATTGTTTCTTTTTCCACGTAGAAATATAACAATGAATCAACATACTTTCACGTTCACGGGTGCAGTGGGTGGCAGGGGATCGATTTTCACATTCATAAACCGCAACAGGTCGTTGTAGTCAATTGTACCGTCTTCAGCTTTGCGCAAGCTTACAGGAATCATAATAAGTTATAATCGATATCAGGTGAAATGCCTTTGATCGGTTAAGTCGTAAATTTTGTCCGAACTTACTGATCCAGCATGGAATTCAACAATTCCACATCGACGGGAATCCTGCAACCGCGCAGAATTGTGTACAGAGATTCCCGAGGTAGAAATCCAGTTCTATTTTCGTCCCAATGATGTAGATCCTCCTCCAAGCGATCAAGATCGTGCCACAGAAATCGGTATAATTCCATGTGCAGCAAACATCTAAAAATAATCATCAATTTCATTAATTATTACACTAACTATTGATTACTAACACTTTCTTAATCGTGCTTCTTCCTAATTTTTAATTACTTATAACATAGAAATCATTAATGTCCTAACAGTGGAAAATATATAAGGATTATCGATGGAAATAAAAGTTATAAGAATTCCTTATATAACCCTTCGTGTTTTTTATGTATACTGTTTACAATTCAGAGAAATAATAAGTCTTGACTTATATTTTCTAAAGTCTTAGGCTAATTCTATAATGTGCTTTTTATTTTCTGTTTTTTTGCTGTTTGTCTCTTGCCTTCTTGATCAAAAAGGCAAGAGACAAACAGCAAGAAACAGGAAACAAAAAGCACATTGTAGAATTAGCCTTAGATCAAAGAAATTTTATAGGAAACATAAGTCAAGGATTTATATAAGAAAAAGCCTTATATTTTTTTTAATCCTTAATTTCTATCGATATCCTAATATCTTTTCCACTGTTCCATGATAATAATAATAATAATAATCTCTTTTCTCATGTCCACAATGCTAGAAATTACTCCAAGATCTTAAACGGAGAAAAAATTGATTATTGGTAATTGCATTGATCAATTGACCAAATATTATTCAAATATGATTTATAATTTTTTCTCTGAGATATCGGAGCGATTTCTAGCATTGTAGGCGCATGGTTTCAGATTAAGAGATTCACATACCTTACATACTCTCTCGATCGGTATTCTATTTTCTCGTGAGACGAATAATGTCGAGCAATTGTGATCATTTCGTGTTCCGTTATCTTGTCCCCCATATAGCGGCGCAATGCCTCCCTGCAAATATAATTTTAATCATAATAAACACGAAGATGACGCGGAAGGAAGGATATAAATATTTCACACCCACTTGAGCTTTTCATATTCTAAACTTCGAGTATCATCTTTGGTCTCTTTAGGCGGGGCGTACAGTTGAATAAACTCTTTGTAAACGGGGTGTAAACTCTCTCGAAGTTTCTCCATTATCAATTTCTTGTTCGCTTTGGGAAACTGCGAAGAAAGTTTATTCCTTCCTTAGTATCGCATACATAAGTAAGTCAAGCTTGGAGGATCGTAATTTTATTGCATTATTTGGACAGAACTTTTTTATGAAATGGCTATAATTTGTTTATCGGATAAAATATAGAAACGCACCTTGTCGCAATGTAACTCCATATAACGGAGGGCATAAACATCTGCAGACGTAATTTCAAAATGAAAGTCGTACAGGTTTAACCGTGTTCCTATATAAAAATCGTGTGATTTGTAGTATTCCGGTTTCTTGCTTGTGAAAATATCTTGACCGGGTAACATTATTGGCATCCGTTTTTGGAATAAGGATCTCTGAAAGCCTGATTTAATTTTGCTACATTTTAATGTTATTCTAATATTTTGTTTCTATTTCAATTTATTCACTATATATACTTCAATTTATTTAATATGCAATATTTATGCGATACATTTACTACTACTATTATAGCAGCCCATAATCACTTATAAAAAAATTAATAAATCACATTTTTTAATGTTAGATATATTTGGAATAAATCTTTTGGGGGGGAGGGGGGGGATCCCGTTTGCCTACAAATCAATTGCCTATATGCGCTTTTGCGCACAAATAAAAATTTTAGAAACGGAGTTACTTTTGCTTACATGTACTATTGCCTACAGCTCGATTGCCTACATACATTATTGCCTACAGCTCACAACCTTCCACGCGAAATGAGGGCTACCTCACACCAACAAATGGTTTGGTTAGAGTTACATTTTTTTGGAAAAATATTCCAAGCGGACACTGTCTACGCTGACATCCCACTGTTCACATGAGATTTCCTAAAAATATAAATTATTTTCTTACTTAACTTTAATTTTATATTTGTGCGCAAAAGCGCATGTAGGCAATCGAGTTGAAGGCAATCGAGTTGTAGACAATCGAGCTATAGGCAATAGTACATGTAGGCAAAAGTAAATCCGTTTCTAAAATTTTTATTTGTGTGCAAAAGCGCATGTAGGCAATCGAGCTGTAGGCAATAATACACGTAGGCAATCGAACTGTAGGCAAAAGTGATGTAGGAAAAAGATACTGTAGGCAATCGATTTGTAGGCAAAAGCAATCATCTTAATCTTTTGTTAATGTAATTTTTTTCAAATTTCTTATATTATGGGTATACCTGAGTTTCGTTTCGCCAATTCGAAAATAGATATCGTATCGTCCATGAGGAATACTCTTATAATGAATTGTCTTTCTTCATGTTTTGGGATTTTTGATATCATTTTCGCTCGGAATCTGAAGACGTGACTATTAAAGCCCTGTCTGAAATGATAACAAGAAATAGGATCAAACAGAAAAGAAATTAGTTTTGAAGCATGTTGCTTACGACTCACTTGTCGTGACACAGAAACTTGATGAAGTCTGATTTGGGCGGTTTCGGCATTACCGTAAAACAGTTTCCGAGAGAATCCTCGTAAGATCCGAAACCATTATAGGGTGGTATATACCTCTCGATCTTCTGATATGTTTCGTCGGCTTTTCGAGGCCTTATCAGAGGGGTGAAGTCGTCCAAGCCATACTTCTTTCTAAAGATTATTAAAGAAATATGAAGAGTCAAGCTCTGATAATAATATAAAAAAATTCTGCGTTTTACCGATAATATTCTTTGGTAAAAGCATCCATGTTTGTGATGATAATTCTTCTTCCGAAAACATTAATCTCCGCACCGATGCTCAACTCATTGTCTTTGTAATAATCGGCGGAGATCTTGCCAGTGTCAAGAGAATCCACCATATAATAGCTTTGTCTTGCATTCTCGCCTAATACATTCAGAACTGTGAAACGATTTTCCGTGCCAATTGGTTGCAAGCCCTTATAAAACTGGAAAGACAATTTTGAAATATATGTAGAAAATGAGATAATTATTGGAACAATGATGTAATGTTATGATAATATATTATTTAACATAACAGCAAAATTTAACATAGCAAATTAACGATCTTCGATGAAATCTGTGAAAAATCGTCTCTATTTAGGATCCATTTCTATCAATACAGATTAATCTTAGTTTAACTTACTCTCTTCTCTTTACTTTTTTTCTAACTCTTAGACCGAGAAAAGGATAAAAAATAAGTAGTAAATTCTACTTCTAAGAATTAGAAAAAGATAAAGAGTAAATTAAATTGAGATTAAAGTTAATCTACATTGGTAGAAATTAATATAAATATCATACCTTCGGTATCTTCATTCTTTTAACAAACATTAGACCAGAATCTCGACCGGCGTTCGGCGGTACATTCTCCTTGATTTCCATTGTATTATCAGAAAGATAATAATGCAGTTCGAGATCATGGATAATACCGTGAGGACTCTTAGTATCGTCCCAGTATCCATAAAATCGGAGCACCTGCTTATCGTACTTTAAAAAATTCCCGAGAGTATCCATCATACGATTGGGCTTTTTTGGAAATACTTCCTGCGATATTAATCGCGTCATAATATAAATTTTATATAATCAAATGTTAAGTGTTTGCCATGAAAACGTTATTAGGCATGATTTCATTGACGTAAGTTTTATTTGCGTTATTCTGTACTTACAGCTTTTCGAATTTCATTATACGAATCCTGCGGTATATCTATTGGATCGGGCACTGGTATTCCCATACGGTTAAGGAATTGCCTCGTGAATTTGTCACAATCTACAATTTTATATACTCGCCCATATATCTCGGGTTCCTTGCCGACATTTAAATCGAGTATATCATAATATCTGTACTTTACTGCATCGGGAATCGGTATCCTTTGACGTCTGACCAAGATACCTTCATATCGAAAATTAATATAATTACAGTACATATCATGTATCTTTACATTGATAATAATTAAAAATGCCTATTCCTGCTTCGATTTTTCTTCTATAAGGTAAAAGCATAATAAGATGCAAAAATAAAATGTCCTGCCACTAAATGAATTACAAAAATGAAATGCACCGTTGAACCTTGCTCAAGACCACTATTGTCCACAGACGGCTCTACGATTTTCATTGTTCCATCCTCTAGGAAAAAGCTAATGTTCACCACGCGAATGTGGAAAGCGGTTTTCCACTTCTCTTGTACAGTCTCTTGGAAAAATGCTTTGAACATGAGTCTCTAAAAAGTGCGATTAAAATAATTAGCATTAATTAACATTAATTATAGTCAACTTATAGTTTGAGAAAAAATTTTCTTAATTTTATTTATTCATACATTTTACAATTATTATCTAGAATATTATGTTAAAGAAATTTCTTAAAAAGTACTGTATAGAATTTTATTTTATTTATCCGTACAACGTTTTACTATAATTACTATATAAAATATTAAAGGAAGTTCTTAAAAAGTATATAAAATTTCATGAGCTTCAAGCTCATTTACTGTCAATCATACTTGGCCATCATATGTAAGCCACGACGGCATTTCTGGCTCCTCCCCTCGAGGATAAATGGACGAATAACGGCTATATGCCTTCGTATCCGCTTTCTCAGATAAATAATAAACTCCATCGTGTATCTTGTCGAAGAGTTGGCTTTTGTGAAATCTCGTTCTACCAAGCTGCCAGACATATTTACGATGTAAATCTTTCTCTTTTTGCGCACTAATATTTCATATTGCGCCTATATTTTACATTGACGTGAGCTATATTTTATTACATGCTTTTTAACGTATATAATAATGTTCGTAATAACGTGAAATCTTGCCGATACCGTCACAATTATGTCATGAATATAAAATCACTCACGTTTTTGTCGACGCTAAATCCTGGGAGACAAGGTAACATCGATGTCCGTTGCATACTGATAAAAATTCTATCAATTCACAGTTAAATTATTGCTTGAATTATAAATTCGTTACAAATGGCGCAAAGAGAATACACGATTGATATAAAAACTTCGTACCGTGAGAATGTTACTGATAAGGAACGAATACCATGTTCATGTTATATCATTAAGTTTCCTTGGTGATCGTTGAATCTATACGGTAATACACGGGGAAAAATGCACGACTATTTTTGCAGAAGAGATAGCTTCTTATCTAATTATCGATGTAGAGACTTCAGTTGCAACAAATTAATTCATATAACTCTAAACTAATATTTTCGATAAATATTACGGTAACAGATACGTAGAAGCATTGTTTTAAAAATTAGCTATATAATACAAATCGGAATTTAATTGTTATATCAATATAGCTACAAAGTAACGATCATTGACAATTCACATAATATTTATTGTTCTCAACAATTTGTGACACTATTGACGAAGTCGTCCGTCACAAAATATAGATACATGGATATATTTATATGTATATATATATATGTGTATGTACAGCCTTGAATATAAATATAAAGCATCTTCAATTTATTACATTTCTGAGAAAAAGCAGTAATAAAAGTCAAAGGAAAACTAACAAAATATTAAAATTGTTATAAAAATAAATTTGGTTTTTTAGCAAAACTATTTTTAAATTTGTTTGTTAAATATACATTGAATGTTTATATCAATTTGTGGGGATGCTTTATATTTATGGTCATGACTGTATAATGTAGCAAAACCTCCAATACAAATATAAAGCGCGTATATAACAATTTGATTTTCAAGAGTGCCATATTAAAATTATACTGATGTATACCAATGTGTATCTTATAAAATATGAATTATTTAAATATTAGTATAATTATCCATTTAATTGCTTATGCAATTGGTAAATGCATTAATCAACTTTATTAGTAACCAAACAGTATTGGAACATAGTGAAGAAAAAAACACAATATCGAAAAACCTTAACTTACGAAACTAATTTTCATAAGCATATAAATTAATCACGTGTCATATATATGTGTTATATTATTCAGATCATTCAGTAATAGTGTCTGCACATAGTTGTGCATTTTGTGCCGCAACTTAATCATATAAACATAAAATACAAAATATATTATATATCAAGTGCGGATCAGCATTGGAACGAGAAATTTTCAATTCCTTTACGTACGTATTTAATAGCTTGTATTCTCGTAAGTTATCTCATTCATTACTGAGATTTACAAATATAATACGCATTATATACAAAATGGATTCTTCAATTAAACGGCCAGCGTTTAACTATTTTAGGCACATTTTAAAAAACAAAATAACAACACATGAAACCTTTATTGAAATCTGATTTTTCGCGCATGTATATCGCGTATTAAAATATTTTATAATAGAATATATATCAGAAATTTGAAATTACTAAATCAGCTACCAAGCCAATCCGCCCCTGCTTTATAGTTGCGGCAAAATTATATATCAGATCATTTCATGCCATTAGGCGTAAGTACGAATCTCTTTAAATATCTTTTATCGTTTCTCGCAAGACGTCTTGCATCTCGCATAGCACCACGTATTAACTTACCTTAATAAATTATCAATTTAACAATAATGGTCAACGGAATATAGAGGTAATTATAACATTTGAGACTTTCATCGTTTGTAAAAATTATTAAGTGGGAATTTAAGCGGTTGTTTCGTCAAACAGACGCACAAACGCTCGAATCCCCACTTACTTTTTCTCTTCTTCTAGTCTTTGATTTCCGGTTGTAAATCGTACCAGCTGGTTACAGTCTTCGAAATGTTGATTTCGCTCAATTTCAAGTGAACCTGTCCCATCACGTTACTTCCGGTCGAGAGCCAACCCTTTTGTGTGCATACAGACACTTCTAATACGCGTGTATTTAAGTCTCCTTGCGAAACTACATATTCGAATTGCTCGTCGAATTGGGGATTACAGTTATCCTTGATCACAGCGGTTTTGCGCTTTGTTTCCTTATGTTTGTCCGGCAAAATATATAGTTTTACATACGGATCCGGTATATTGTGCGGATCATTTTGGGGAAGCGGCAGATTACTGCAATATAACATATATAGTAGATGACATCAACATCAAGTCAATTGTAATGAATACGAGATGTATTTGGTTAATTGAGATTAACTTACGCAACTCTGTGTACGAAAATACTGAGTTTCTGTCTCTGCGTGCTGTATCGTATAGTCAATTGTATTCTTCCTAATTTCGATTCGCCCGAAGAAGACATGATACTCGGATTTCTATGGATAAGCTGAGGGCTTCCGGTAAAAGAGGACGCAGCGCTGTTGCTGAGTATTAATTCTTCTTCCACCGCTGCTGGTTCCTCAGGCAAAAGTGCCGCGGCGGATCCAGTGCTACGAGGTTGACTGTTGACCGATTCTTTAGAAGGCTGTTTTTTAAGAGGGCTCGGTGGTACTATAAGAAAATAGTATATCTCAATTTCTGTACACGAAAAAAATTATATATTAGCAGTATTAGCCAACAGTAATTTATAATTGAAAATAAGCCTATTTATTTAATGACAGTATTAACGAAAACAATATCATTTTATTAAAACAAGAACATGACGTAATTTTATTAATACTGTCATTAAATTAACAAAATTATTTTCGATTAGACTGCTGTCAGTTAATACATCTTTTTTTTTGTATATGATATTCTGTTACGATCATTTTTAGAAAAGCATTTTCAAAATACTTTGCTCGATCGAAAAACGTAACATTTGACACAATTCCACTTACCACTAGAAGAGAGTACATTACTAGTGGTGGATTCTTGACGTTCGATTCGTCTATTCAATTCATTGATGTCATGATCATCTTCGTCTTCCTCGGAAGTAGGTTCAGGCTGCTCATATTTCAAGATCTGTAAAATCAGATTGTTTTACCCACTGGCATATCTATTTCCATTACATTGTGCGCGTGTAAAATTTCCTGTTACATTTAATGTCATTGATAATACAAGCTTGCTGTCCACTTCGGCCTTTTGTAAATCATACGGCTGTTGCATCACCTCAAGATTACTCTTCTCCAAAAGTAGGGAAAGATTATAGCTCATTTCCCCAACTGTCATGGCAGTTTTCTCGTCTATAATCTAAGAAGGAAACATGCGATTATTTGTTAAATAACAATAAATCTGATATCTCATATTATTTGAACGAAAAAATTTGCAGAAAACCTTTATGTGTAAAACTCCAGTTTCAGGGTTGCTAACTAAAAAGGTGAACCCTCGTTCCCATACAGGATCGCAAGAACGTGGTACAGTGGCTGTTCTTTCGGTTTTTCCACCGACACTTGCTTCCAAGTAAACGTCAGGTTGTTTATTTCCTCGAATACACTACGAGTATAATGATTTTAACAAATTTTATTAGATAACTCTCGCTCTTTTCTTTACGTATCATGATGTACGTACCGGTAAATTTTTAGCAGAATCGATATAAACTGTGAGAAGGGCTGTACTCATTGATGTGACTCTAAGTTCCTGAGTTTCCACTAAAGCCTGATCAAAAGTTATCAATTAAAGGTTGTATATTCAAGTGTATGAATACGAACGTTTTTTGTTATACTTACAGCTCTTAAATCGGCAGGTTCTTTTGAAAATTGTAGCCACGTTAATCGCAAATGAACCATGCCGTGCTTTGCTTGCTCCAAAGAGACCCACTACAAAATAAGATCAATTAATAATTAGTAATAAGAAAAAGAGACTTTTTTTTACAAGAAAACAAACTTAGTACAACTGGACAAGAGGATGATTCCTTGTACAAAAACAAATAAGCCAAAAGTGCAGAATAAACTTGTTTATCTGAAATCAGGGGAATGTGTGCACTGAATGAAAATATGGTTTATAGAAAGGCACTGTAAACGTTATCATACTTACATAACATCTACACAACTTCAGAATTAACAGTAAAGAAAATGAGACAAATAGTTCAATTTTATTTATTTGATTAAAACAGAAATTGTATTCAACAATAAAGCCTCGAATAAAAAAAATTTATTTTGCGTTTCCAACTAATTTTTGTATAAGAAATCACTTTCCTGTCCGATTATACTATATTGTTCCGATTCTATATAATATATATTTCATACTCACCGTATCAATCGTGCCCTTTTTCTTTATTCGATTAACTTCGATAGTGGCCCTGTCGCAATACAAAATAGAAATGGATGTTTTCAAAACTCTTAAATTACACATAACAAATGTCCATTAATTTTCAAGAGTAAATAATTATTTCGGTGAAGTTTAGATGTGTGCTTTTTGCAATATGACGTGATGATAGCAGCATGACTATTAAATTTATAAAAGAAACCTCCGTGATTTGAATGCAAAATCTATGATACAATTTGCATTTAGGAAGCTTTCATGCAGCATATTATTTCTACTGTATTTCTGATTTTGTCGAATAATGATACAAAGATATTATTGTATGTTATATACGTTTAAAAAACTGCATGCAACATTCCATAGCATTATTTCATTGCATAAATAAAATAGACTTCTCAATATTTGCTTAATAAGTAACGAGAGTAATGTGGTGACATGAATTCAGAATTATTTTTAATTCCGAATTGCAATTGGCACGACTATTCTATAATATTTTTCATACATCATTTTTGTATGCTCTGAGTAAACGACATGCATATCACAGATATGTGATTAATGCTTACGTTTGAAATACTTTTAAATGCGCTGCAGTGTTTCAGAGGTAACTCATATAATTAAAAAAATGCAGTCTTTCAAGCATAATCTAATAGTCAATGGCAGAGTATTCGCATAATTTACATTCTGTACAAGTCTCTCAAAATGCATTATTAATCTGGTCTGAGATTGATATATTTGCTACATTCAGGAATACCTGCCAAGTGGATCATCTTGACCAGCGTTGTCTTTGTCAAAGAGCTGGGCAACCACCGTGTTGTAAGCTCCCAAGCCCTCTTCCACTATAAACTGTCACCACATAGTCTATTTTAGTTGCTTTTCTTGTTAAACAAAGTCACCTAATCACTCTGATTAATTAACTAACAAAAAAGACCAAACCGTTAACCGTTAACGATATTTCTTGTTACGAAAAAATCTCAAACAACAGCAAATTGTTTCATTTAATTATGATTATTTAATAACAAATGAAATTTACACTACAGACTATTAATAGATACACTAAAAAATTTAGGAATATATTGTAGAAAAAATTTTAAAGAAAGTTAAAAAGTAATACAGCTCTGAGAAATTGTAAAAAAACATGTATTTTATTTTAAAAGAATTAAAAAAAAATTAAGTATATAAAATAGAAAATTTTCGTGCAACGCGTGTTTAACAAGCTATAATATCTACAGCATTAGTGAAATAAATCTTTTAAAATCGTGATAGATAAAAAAAGATTATTTTACTATTTACATAGATAAACATATACATATAATACCACAAAGACAAATATCACGTGACTAAACGACACATGCTTAAAATATAACATCCAAATCTGCCTATACATTTTTATTAATGATGCATACGCAAACATTGCCTCATTCAAGTCATAATATTACTACCTGCCAAGGAAATCATCATATTGTACCCCTGGGACATTAGGATCCCAATCCCAAAGAGATACCACAGCTTCTTGCATATTGCATGAACTGATCATAGCCTGTGTGTCAATATTATATTGTATAACAAACATAAAAGTGACAGGTTTTCTTATGGCAATTGTACATTGTTTATTGTATTGTTTATTACTTTCCTTTTCGTGCTTTACATTGCTGTGCTATGTAAATACTAAATATGTGCCAAGTATATGTATTGTGAATCTCATAAACATGATATGTACAGAATTTAATCTGAACAATGATTGTGCAATATTTATTTCATAACATGATAGTTTTATTTTTCATGTGTCCAATACAGAGTGTTAGTAAAGAAAATTAATAATATAAAGTGAAAAAACCCCTCACATGCACCCATAAATCACTCAACAATACTCAGACTGACAACATAAACATTATCACACACCAGCATTATGACATCATGCGACAAAAGCTTTTTTCCACAGAAGCTTTTCCCATAGACCAATAAAATAAATCGAATGAATTTAATAAGTAATTTCGTATAAATTATATATAAATTATAATAAAAATTGTATGACAAGCATTGATCAACAAGAGAAATAATTTTGTGATATATATAGAATATATATATTATAAAATTTAATTTTGAATATTCGTCCTTGTGTAATGATATGAAATCTGAAATGAATAATGAAATAAGAAAAAATCCATATAATGTTATATATAACTATACCTTCCAAGACTTTCATCGCCCTTTGTGTCATCATAGTCCCACAGCAGTACAGTCAGTTGTTGCGCGATGGCTGAAGTCACGGCACACTAATCCCATATAATATATTGCACATCACATACACACATACATACCAACTTATGAAATTAAATTATATTAACATAGAAAGATTAAAATGTATTCTAATTACAGTCCGGAAAAGGCAACATTAACCACTATGAGTGATAGGAAATGGGAAATGTAATCGCGGAAAAAAAGTGTTTGCGGTTGATTAGAATTTATATGTATATGTAAATTATATGTGAGAAAGCAAAGAGTTGATTATTTAGAGAACGCTAGATCAGCAATGTATTAAACATTTATAAATATTATATAAAATATACTTATCCATATTTTTATGAGAAAGTTAAATGCAAGAGAGTGGTATATCTCATTTATTAAATCATCATTAATTAAATGGAGTAACATGATGAACTATAGACTGTAGAAAAGTTCTAGTTCTTAGAAAAGTTTATTTTGTAAATTGCTAAAATATTTTTCTTACCACATACATGGAAGACCTTGTGTTGTATTATTTTTTAAAGAATATATATCGATAGATAACAATAAAGCACATGCATTAAACGATAAAAATTTGTTTTTGCATTTATGAAATATCGCACATACCTCACACCAGTAGTCCCATTTTGGATTAACAGTGTTGTCAATTATTTTTGTTCTGAATTCCTGGGCACCAACATTTATGACGGCATACGGATCAGACTTGCCCTTACCTAGCACTCCAATATCTTTTTTCATCAGATGCTTTGCTTCTACAACATGAATTCTTAGAACACCCTAAAATAAAAAAAATTAAAATGTTAATTACAAAAAAGAGAGTAAGAATACAATATATGAAATATTTCTGCAAAACTTACTTCGGGTTCAGGTATTTTTAGAGACTCCATAGGTATTTCTTCGCTTAAGGGTATAATTATTTTGTTTGGCAATACAACTATGGCTGATATCTGTTCAACGATTGTCTTTCTTAAAATTTCACTGAAAAAAACATGCTTTTGTTTAGTATTTTTGTGTTCAATTAATAATACTAATTGCTTGTTATATCAGTTTTAGAGTGAAATTTTTTATATGAAAAAAAAAAACGCATACTTGAATCCAGGTAGATCTAATACATCAGCCACTCCTACTAAATTGAAGTTAATAGTAGGAACATTTAAATAAAATATCTGTACACCTCCGATTAACGGCATCATGGGCAGCATAGGTTTCATAACAACGCGCACTAAACCATGTATCTGAAATTTTTTATATTTTTATTAAAAATTGCAGAAAATTTCCATAATTGTATATTGACTTTTAATATACTTACTTGAAAATCTTTAATACCACCTTTGATGTTTCCAACGAAAAAGGTAATATCACAGTCACCAGCATACCTATAAAAAATAATGATTGGAATAGATGATTTTTAAAGATATTAATATATTTTGTAAAAAGTTAGAGTACACACATAATATCTGCATCTAAGATGATCTCATTTCTTGAGGTATTTTTATCGTATACTTTGATCCCATAAATTTTTGGTGGCTGTAAAAGATTATTTTATAGATTTTAGAAAAAGTATAAAAATTATAAAAATTATAGAAATATAAAAGAGAGAAATGCTGCATGACTTTAAAAAGAATTTAAATAAACTCACAATGCGACCCAGGACTAGACGGTCAAATTGAAAGCCTTTGATTTTATATTCAGTCAGTTTTTCAACAATCGACGGTTCTATACTTTGCTTACACAGCTGACGGACAAACTGATTCATACTTGGCCATACCTTATATAAGATCTGAAAGTGTGGGATAGAAAATTATGACAATTGAGATTCTCTTCTCTGAAACCGTTAAATAGTTTAATATCTATATTTTATTTGAAGATGATTTCTAGAATATAATATGAAAAAGACTTATACTCTGTTTAGCCATTCGGCTCTATCAAAGTCCGGAAAATACACCCATGAGGGTAATTCATTCATTCGACTGATGATCAATTCCTTTTCTTTAGCCAACACACTGGCTTGTGCTGTAATTGTTCTTAATTCGTTGTCTCTTTTCCGTTCTGCTTTCCATACGGAAAACGCGATTGGCGCGATCAACCAGGCTATGCTATAGTTGAAGTATCCCCATCCCCAGATGATACCAGCCGCCGCCAGTTTAGTCAGAAACGATATAGTTAGCGAGCTGACGTTCATGTACGGCCAAGTAGTTGGTTTGGAATCTTTATTAAGAGAATTGTTTTCCGTTTCTCCTTCCATTGTCTATTTTAGTTTCTATTTCCAAATCTTATTGGATATTATTAATCAGATCTTGATTTTCTGCAAATAAATATAAATGCGTAAATATTTTTATTATGAAGTAATTTGAGGTGTTTTAGTATATATAACATTTTGTGAATAAGCTATATTTTCGAAAAACTGCTCATGCAATTATAATTAAAGCACATTTAATTGCTTATTAATAGAACTAATAGCATGACATAATCATGTCTATGTGCATTTGTTTGTTCTCATTAATATCCATTAGCATAATTAAAATAATCAAGTTAAGATCTCGTCGGTGCCAAACTCAAATGGATTTTACTTTGAAATTGCTCGACTGCGTAGTCGTTAGAATATCTATGCACGCATTAGATCATATCAACGTAATTCGCGATGACCTTTAAGATCAAGAGAGGACATAAAATTTTGTGATGGTTGGACCAACGGAGCAACCTTGATACGCGATACATCAAGCACGATAAATTTATGTATCCCGCAACCAAAATAAGAAACACACGTCGATAACGTCTGCTGCAATATGAAACTAAGAATACTTAAAATACATAAACGAGACACAGTAAAACTTTTCTGCTTTTATTTACATACATGTATTTTTAGCGATAATTAAAAACAAGATTAATAGCAGCATAATTTCAAAATCAAGCTTTTTGAAATCTATTGCATTATATATATAGGGCGTGAAAAAATTAGACCGACAAACTGTGAGGGTAAATAGGGGACATAAAAACAAACATATTTTGTTAATAATGTTTTCCTCTACGACGTTTCGTTTTAATACTACAAGGTACAAAATAGGAATTTCATGATTTTAACAAAAAGCAAACATATAAGGAATAATTAAATTTATTTCAATTACACATATATATTTTAATCTTCAAAAAACAATGAACAAAAGAACGGAACAAAAATGGCAAATGATTAACTCAATTTATAATAAATGTTCAAAAATTCCTCCATTTGCTTCAACACAAAGCCATCGTCGAAACATTGATTGTCTCACACGCTCGAAGACTGCAGGAATATTCTGAACCTGATATGCTGCAGCAGTAATTCGGGCTACCAATTCTGCTTCTGTTTCAATAGATGTCTCATAAATGAGAGTTTTCATATGCCCCCATAAATAAAAGTCAAGCGAAGATAAACAAGTAACATGAATGTATGGAATGTTCTTCATGAACAATTATTACATCCATTTCATCGACAACGTGTACAAAGTTTAAAATTTGAAGACGTACCACTTGACACAAAAAGGCAAATGTGGGTCCAACACGATGGAGCACCTGCCCATGTTTCGACGATATCATTTTAGTGTTGAAGCAAATGGAGGAATTTTTAAACATTTATTATAAATTGAGCTAATCATTTGCCATTTTTGTTCCGTTCCTTTGTTCATTGTTTTTTTTT